CCGGGGCGGCGTAACGGGGTGGGGGGGGTATAACGGGCTGGGCGGGGGAGGTAAAATGGGTTGGGGACGGGGAGTCACTCGCGGGGTCCGAGGGGCTGGGAGGGGACTCCAGGGTGACAGAAGGGGTGTGGGGGGACACTGGGGATCTGCAGCGGGCTGGGAGAGCGTATAACGGGAGGGGTCACTTTCTAGGTATGAAGGGGTCATTAGGGAGATATAACGGGTTGGGGGAATGAGTGTACGGGAATAATGGGTTGAGAGSGTTTCCATGGGGCTGGGGGAGATATCACTGGCTGGGGGGGTGATTGTATAGGTATAATGGGTTGGGGGGTCATCTGGTAGGTATAATGGGGCTGACCCCATTCCTGGCTGTCCCAGTCCCTGGAGGACTGCCCGCTGGACGAGGATGAAGACGCCTTCCAGGCCCTGGGGGAGGAGGATGAAGACATCGACCAGTTCAATGATGACACCTTCGGGGCCGGGGCYGTCGGTGAGACCTCGGGTGTCACCCCCAGAATCCCCTGATCCCACAGATCTCCCCGTCCCGTGCCCCTCACCCTGTGCCCCCTCGCAGATGACGACTGGCAGGAGGCCCACGAGCGGCTGGCAGAGCTGGAGGACAAGGCCGGGTTGAGCCGGGAGCGGGATGGTCCCATCGGGAATGATGGGGACGTTCTGGGCGATCCCGAGGATGCGCTGGCTGAGAGACTCACACGGCTCGTCATCGACAGCGAGCTGGAGGACCCGGCCATCATGCAGGCCGTGCACACCAGGGGTCCCCCGCAGGTGGGAATGGGTTGGGGGATCCGGGGAAATGTGGGGATGGACCCTGTGGCATTGTCCTGACTCTCCCTGTGCTCTCCAGCAACCTGGAGGGCTGAATTCCAGCATCTGGGACAGCTCGGCCGTGCTGCGGCGCATCCGGGGGCCGCTCCTAGCTCAGGTAGGGTGCTGGGGCAAGGGCTCTTCCCTGGTGATCCCAAATCCCCAGCTGGGTGTGTTAAACTGTGTGTGGGATGGCTGAGTGTCCTGCTTCACTCCAGCTGCATCCGTGGCTCACTGGGGACCCTCGTAGCCAGCATCCCTTGTTCCCCTTCATGGCTGTTTTGAGTGGTTGTCACTGATCCAGGGCACCTGGTGATGTCTGAGGGATTCCAAGGCTCCTAGCAGGATTTAGGAACGTTGGTGCCTGGAGGCAGAGATTTTTCGTGTTGCTGCGGTTTCATTAAGAGTCAGGCTTTGAAGTGCTGCGTGGCCAATCCTCTCCCAACCCTCTCCCAGCTCTGCCGGGCTGGGWGGTGACCCAGAATCCCCACCCCATGCCCTGTCATCCCAAATGGTGCGCTCACTCCAGGAATGCCCAGCGTCGGGCGGGGATCCCCGGGAAGCGCAGCGGGATGTGGAGAGCCAGCAGGAGGAAGAGGGRATGATGACCCTGCTCCCTGTTCCAGTGTGTGACCCCTGGGGGGGTTTCCTCCCACAGGAGATGCCGTCGGTGTCCGTGCTGGATTACGCCCTGCCCCAGAAGCCTSCGCAGGCTCGGGATGAGGAGCGAGATCCGTCGGAGCGGGTGCTGCCCCGGCGCTCCTCGTCCCCCATCATCGGGAGCCCCCCGGTCCGYGCCGTTCCCATCGGCACCCCTCCTAAACAGCCCGCCATCCCAAATTTCAACCAGCAGGTACCTCCCTGCTTCCCGATTTCCCACAGCTCCCAGGGCTGCAGGTAGCTTTCCAGGGAGTGACTGTGCTGCTTTCCTCCCTTCAGATCCTGTGTCCCAAGCCTGTCCACATCCGAGCTACCATGCAGCAGCGTTATCCCGCTCCCTATGGAGAGAGGATGTCCCCCAACCAGCTCTGCAATGTTCCGGTATCCAGCTTTCCCTCTTTTTGGGGATTGRTGTCCAGCCCCACCAAAACCTCCTTGTGTTCCTGTAGTTCACCCMGCTCCATGGAGCCTGTCCTTCCTGAGGTTTGTCCTGTCTGCCAGTCGTAGTCTGTGACCAGGGTCCCTCTTCCCGTCTGTTTCCCCAGAATTCCTCCCTGCTGGGCCACCCGTTCCCCCACAGCGTCTCTCCCGTTCTCACACACCTGCAGAGAGCCCAGCTGCTCGGAGGAGCCCAGGTAAAGCCCCTTCCTGTGCTTTATCCCACTTTTCTCACCRTGTGGCTCCAGGATTTGGCTCTCCATGGCTCTTGCTGGCCATCCCAGATCCTTTTATTCCCACCTGGCTGACTCCAGGCTCTCTGTGCCCCTCCAGGCCGGCCGAATGTCCCCCAGCCAGTTTGCCCGGGTGTCTGGGCTGGTGGGGAGCCCGCTGCCCTCCGTGAATCCCAAGCTGCTCCAGGGCAGAGTTGGGCAGATGATGTCCCCCGCTGGAGGGTTCCGTGCCTTTTTYGGGGCTCCCCCTGCCCCGCCCCCCTCGCAGCTGCCGCATCCTCCAGGATCCCACCTGCAGAACCTGAGGTCGGTGATGTCCCTTTCCCAGCATCCCATCCGCTCCCTTTGTCCTTCCCTGACAATTCCCACTCTCCTCAGGCCACAGCCCCAGATGTTCCGGCCGGACACGACCCATTTGCACCCCCAGCACCGCCGGCTCCTGCACCAGCGGCAGCAGCAGAACCGGAAGTGAGTGCGGGGACAGGGACGGGGCCATGTGGCACGGGGACGTGTCCTGCTTCCGGGGTCACCTGTCCCCCCTCTCTGTCCCTTCCTGTAGCTCCGGTGTGCTCACGGGTGCCCTTCTTCTCCTGCCAGCCAGCACCGGAGCCTCAACGGCTCTGGGGGGGACCGAGGGGGCCACCGGAGCAGCCATCAGGAGCAGATCCGTAAGGATCCCTACGCCAACCTCATGCTGCAGCGGGAAAAGGACTGGGTGTCCAAGATCCAGATGATGCAGCTGCAGAGCACTGATCCCTACCTGGATGATTATTATTACCAGGTATCTGCGAGCGGGATCTTCCTTCTGTCATTGGATGTTGGGTGGGAAGGGGATGTTGATCCAGAGAGAGATGCGTTGGATTGTTTTTCTCCCTGGAAGAGGAAGGTGGAGGGACAGGGTGGGGTCAGCATCCCAGGGAAAGTGGGCTCCCTCTTCTTGGGTGAGATTTTCACATGTGAGGAGATGTTGGTGTACACTGGATTTGTAGGTCTGGGATAACAGGAGAGCAGCTCCTCTCCATCAGAAACGTGACAGAGCCAGGATAAAACCCCTGGAACGGAAAACGGGAGGTGCTACGTGGAAAATTAAGGAGAGATTGTTGGGCAGGGAGAGGCTGACTCTGGTCTGACTGGGAATGGTGGTGATAATTCCTGTGAGAATCATAGGAGAGTGGTGGAGGTGGATAGCAAGAGATTGCTCCTGCTTTTTCCCAGTTCAGGAATAGGGAATGCCAGACAGTGCTGTGAGAAGCCAGATTTGGAGCAGGTGGAGCAAGGTGGTGGCTGAAGGTCTGTTTGAGGATCCACAGGGAGAGAGGGAAATGTCTGGGATGGACATTGGGAAACTGAACAGGGTGGGAGAGCTATGGCCGCTGGTCTGTTCCCTCCAGAGCTGGCAGAGGTTTTTTGGGATCTGTGGGTGAGCTGGTTCCAGTAGAGAAGAGGAACTGGTGCAGGATATGAGTCAGCAAAGCTCTGCCATTGTGAAAGGGGGTGGTTGGGATGGGGAGGCCCCGGCATGGTGCCAGTGGAGCAGGGCAGGCAAACTGAGATGTGCTGGGAAGGACTGGGAACCCCACAGGGAGAGTGGATTTGTGCTGAGAGAGGRCTGAGGAGGAGCCTYGATCTCTGTCATTKYRAGGGATGGGAGAGGAGGATGGACTCAGCTGTGGCTTAAATGGTGATGTTGGGAAAACCATGGAGCTGAGGAGAGGGAGATGGCCAGTGGTTTTGGGGAGTGGGCTCTCAACTTTTCCTCTCCCTGCCTCAGAATTACTTCCAGAAGCTGGAGAAGTTGGCAGCAGCCGAGGAAGTGCACGGTGACGGTCCCAAGAAGGAGCGCACTAAACTCATCACCCCTCAGGTGGCCAAGCTGGAACACACCTACAAGCCAGGTAAAGCCCTCCCAGCAGCCCCAGGGTTCCTTTTATCCAGGGATTGAGGGGACTCATCRCTCGGCTTCCCTGCTCCCTCCTTCCTGCAGTGCAGTTTGAGGGCTCGCTGGGAAAACTCACTGTCTCCAGCGTCAACAACCCGCGGAAGATGATCGATGCCGTGGTGACATCCCGCAGCGAGGATGATGTGAGTTCCTGGCCTTCCTCCCTTCCAACACAGCCCTGTGGCTGCTTTCCACAGCCCTGATTCCCTCTTCMCTCCCTCCCTGGCAGGAGACGAAGGAGAAGCAGGTCCGGGATAAGAGGCGGCAGACCCTCGTCACGATTGAGAAGGTGAGTTTGAGTCGTGATGCTCGGAGGTCGATGGTGGGATGCAGGGGTGATCTGAGTGATCCATGCTTCCTGCAGACATACAGCCTCCTCTTGGACGTGGAGGACTATGAGCGCCGCTACCTCCTGAGCCTAGAAGGGGAGCGGCCAGCCCTGATGGGAGAGAGGAAGCAGAAGATCTGTGACATGTAYGACAATCTGAGGGGGAAGGCGCCTGGACAGGACAGGTGAGTGGGATTTGGGAGCTCCAACGGTCTGGGACCACCCAGASCACCTCAAACCAGTTTTCCATGGATGTGTGTGACTTTTCCAGAGGGCTAAAGTAACTTGTTTTGCCATTTTTCCCTCGCCATGGTTAAAAAATCACAACCTTTTTCCCTCAGACAGGCAGAGATGAGGGTTAGCKATGTCATTCCTGTGCTGGTTTTCCCTCCTCAGGGAGGTTTTTTGAGGCATGGGTGTGTTTCCCGTCTGGTGTTGTGGCAGATCCAGCTGTGGGATAACCCTGGGATGCTCCCAGGTCAGGGTTGACACCTTTCTCYCCTCTCCTCAGGCCGAGTGATGACCACTTCATGCAGATCATGTGCATCCGGAAAGGAAAGCGCCTGGTGGCCCGGATCCTTCCCTTCCTTGCCCCAGAGCAAGCGGCCGACGTGCTGATGGCCACAGCCAGGAACYTGCCCTTCCTCATCAAGAAGGATGCTCAGGATGAGGTGAGATTCCAGAGGCTGCAAGAGCTCTGTGTCTCTTTGGGATGGTGATTCCTGCCTTTTCTGGGAGAGTGCCAGAGGTTTGCAAGGCATGGGGGAGATCTGGGTAATAAATCATGGARTCTTRGAATGGTTTGRGTTGGAATGGCCTTAAAGCCCATCCAGTYCYATGGGCAGGGACACCTTCCACTAGCCCAGGCTGCTCCAAGCACTGTCCAACCTGGCCTGGAAATCCAAGGAAGAGGATGATTTAAGAAGGGAAGAGGTCAAACTATGGTGGGGCTGTGGGGGGGAAGCTGTTTGCAATTCCAGCCAGGCACAGGGAAACATGTGGAGCTCCCAACTGTGCTGCTTTCTCCCACAGGTGCTTCCCTGCCTCTTGAGGCCCTTTTCCCACGTCCTCTACCACCTTCCCTTGGCAACAGTCACCAGCCTTGTGCAGCAGCTCACGAACCTACCTCAGAGCTCCGCCGCTCCCACCAACCTGCACCTCACTGCTGTGCTCCAAAACAAGGTGCTCCTCATCCCCACCCCTTCCCAGCCTCGGGAATTGCCCCAGCAGCCTTCTAGCACTGGGTGCAGCTCCCAGCATTACTCTCRCCAATTAACGAGAGTGTCTGGCACATTAATTAACGGTTTGAGGTGGCCCCGGGCTCTGCTGCAGCCTGGCAGCAGCTTTTGGGTCTGTCCTGCTACACTCCATGCTCCAGTCCTGGAATTTGGGGTGGGAATTCTGCTCTGGGAAGTCCCTTCTGGACGAGGAGTGGTCTGTGGYCTGCCTCTTCCCCCAGCAAAGGCAGCCAGAGATCCTCCCACTTGTGCCAACGTTTCCAGGAGGGTTGGGAAGCATTGGGGATTCTCTGATTCCCTCAGGGAATGCTCAGAGGTGACTGATCCCTTCCCTGTCCCCACAGTTCGGTCTGTCCCTGCTGTACCTGGTCCTGAGCCGAGGGGAGGAATTGCAGAGTTCAGACACGAACACGGAGCTGATGCAGGACAACCAATGGTGAGTTCCTGTCCCAGGCTGGGACGCTCCTGCCTGGAATGTCACCACACTCCCAGCCCCGTGGGGAGGAAAAGGTGGCCTCCAGTCTCCCAGAAYCCTTCCCTGAGGGGAGATGGGGAGYTCCTGCCTTCCCAGCATTCCCCACACCTCTCACTGCTCCCTTCTCCTGGGCTTTATTCCACAGGACGGAACTGATGCTGATGGCGACCCGGGAGCTCCTGCGGATCCCTCAGGGAGCCTTGGCAAAGCCCGTGTCCATCCCCTCCAACTTGATCTCCCTCTTCTCTCGCTACGTCGACCAGCAGAAGCTGAACCTGCTGGAGACGAAATTGCAGTGAGTAGCAGTCCTCTTCTCCCATGGGAGCATGGCTGTGTCGCACCGGGGGACCGGRTAAAGGGGAGCTGGAGGTGGGGGTGCTGCTGGAGCAGGAGTGGAGTGRGGAAAAGCAGCTTAGGGAGAGGGGAATCGCTGTCCTCCTTCTGATCCCGCTTCTGTTGTTCTCTGGTTCCAGCTTAGTGCACGGGATCCGGTAGATCTCCGTGGCTCCTCGCCACCACCGGAATGTTCCAGAGGAAGGATGGAAGGAAGGATGGATAGAGGGCACACGGTTCACCCCACACCTCCCCCGACGCCCGGCCTGGCACAAGGGGCACTCTGCCCCCCAATCCCTGGATCAGCAGGAAGAGGGGGATGTTTGGCTGCTCCCCCCTTTCCCACAAAGTGCTGCCTTTCCCTGCTGCTCCCAATTTCCCCTGACCCCTCTGCGTTCCCAAAAGCTGCTGCTTCCCCCCAAACACACACACACACACACACACACACACACACACACACACACACTACTGAGGATCCCGGGAAGTGGGGAGCCCCTTGCTCCACATCTGGGGCATGCCAGGGGTTCCGCTCTCCTTCCCTGCTCCTTCTCCAGCCCTTCCCACAAGCACTGAGCTCTGCTTCCTGCCCTTCCCCACACTTCACACACCTGTTTTGCACACTCGCCTCGTCTTCCCGAAATTCGGCTCCTTCCCTTCCCCCGGGATCAGGCCCAGCACCTCCGGGGTGGGCGGGGGGCACAGCCAGGTTTTTGTCCCTTCCAGAATGGATCTGGGTGGATTCAGCTGTGCTGCTCCTTGGGAAGGTGGTGGTGGTGGTTGGGGGATACTTTTACTTTTTATTTCATTCTTTTTTTTTTTTTTTTTTTTTTTTTT